CATACTGAAGATGTTCAGGTAAGGGTTTAAGCTCCAATGCGGGAGGTTTCTCAATAGATAGTGGGGACTTTGATGTTCCATGTCCCAAATTTTCGAAATATTTCCTGTTGTTAGGACCAAAAGAATCCATCCACAAGGCATATTCTAACACTTTCGAATCCTCTACCATAGTCAGGTTGAGACTAACAAAACAAGCTTCCAACGATTCCTTTTGTTGATTAAATACTTTAGTGACCAAAGAGTCGATTGCTTGGATGCTGAAACAACTCTCACTTATATCCGGATACTTGATGGCATTAAAAATATTAAAGGTTGCCTCCTCCTTTTGTACCCTCAACTTCAATTTCCCCCTTTGGGCATCAATTAGAGCTTGGCCAGTAGCTAAGAATGGTTTGCCAAGAATGATGGGAATTTCTCTATCCTTCTCCATGTCTAGAATGAGGAAGTCAACTGGAAGAATAAACTTGTCCACCTTAACAAGCACATCTTCAATAATTCCCCGTGGGCGTTTTATTGAGCGATCCGCTAATTGTAATGAAACTGCAGTAGGTCTCGCCTCACCTAATCCAAGTTTCCTAAAAATAGACAAAGGCATGAGATTACAACTGGCACATAAGTCACATAAAGCTCTTTCAAACACAGAATTTCCAATTGAACAAGGGATCGTGAAGCTCCCTGGATCCTTAAGCTTTGAAGGCAATTTCTTTTGTAGGATTGCACTACATTCTTCATTAAGGGCTACTGTTTCATACTCTTCCAATCTCCTCTATTTGACAAGATGTCCTTCATAAATTTCACATAGCTTGGCATTTGTTCGAGAGCTTTTGCAAAAGGAATGTTAATATGCAATTTTTTAAAAACATCTAGAAATTTAGAAAATTGCTTATCAAGCTTATTCTTTTGAGTGGTTGAGGGAATGGAACTGTTGGTGCTAGATCTTGTGGTGGGATTGGTTGATTTTCGAAAATCTCCTTGATAAGCGGTGGTGTGTGAAGTTGTACCACTCAATCTTCTTTTCCAAACTTTTTACCAGTAGTTGGAGTTTCTAACTCTTTCCCACTTCTCAAAGTGATCGCCTTGCACTTTTCCTTTGGATTCACTTTAGTCATGCTAGGCAAATTACCTTGTTGTCTCCCAGTTTTTGGCCAATTGACCAACTTGGACTTCTAAATTCCGAATCGAAGCTGCTTGATTATGAAAATTGGTTTTTTTGTCTCTGTTATGAATTGGTTGGTGTTAGTTGCCAATTG